CAGTTTTATTTGTGTTAACTCCAAACACACTCCGCACTGAACTGTCCACGAGGCCGCTTCTTCTAAATTTTGTTTCGATATTAGCTATTTAGCAATAAATGGCTCATATAAAATTGTGTTTTCGACGAACACCGTAGATATGCATTCACTCTTGCGGTATCAGCCCCGATACACCCCGACTTCGGGTCGACACCAAATATCAACACAGAAAAACAGTGAATTTAGGGCACGAATAAACACTGAAAAAAGAACTCCCCCCCCCCCCCCCCCCCCCCCGGCCCCCCAAATTGGATTAAAAAGAAACATACAAAACACGGAACTTTACTTATAATGTATTCCATTCATCATTGCACTTTGGACGCTACTGTCTGCACGGATGTGTATCTGCTCTAATGTACAGATTTTTGGAATTAGGGGATTCCGCTATGATACATTCTGCACGTTAAAAGTTATTGGTGCTTCACATTGCAAAACACCTATTGACTGTGCCAAACTTTAGCTGATTCGGCCCATCTTTACTGCTCACGCAGTTCTTATTTAACACTGTTTTCTGCTATTGTTTGCAGCTCCCTTGACTGAGAACAAGGGAGCCCGAGACCAGGGAACACTCAGTGAAGTTGAAAGAGCTACTATGAAGTGGCTTGCCCGCGCTCAACGAAGGTTTGATGAAGAAACCGGATGCAAGAAATAAGGGAGCTTTTCCAGACGTTAACGTTTTATTTTACCCAAGTAGGTTTTTACAACTTATTGATAATAAATTCTTACATTGATTCAACAACTTCTGTCCCTCAATTACAACACATTTCTGTGAAATGTGTTGTCCCAATAAGATACTATTTTGGTTCCAACAATGCCCAGAAAGATGTTTTTGAGGAACCTCTTCTGGGTTTTTTGCAGAGTTTAACCGGGATGGCTGTTTGGAACTTTTCGGAAGTTGTCCGGAACGTCCCAGGGATGTCACTGATGTCCCGCAAAGATGTACTTGGAATTTCCTTGGGATATATTTGCTTTGGCAAAGCACAGCCGAAAAAACAAATAAAAATGTAAAAAAAAAAAAAAAAAAAAACCACGCTGGGCGTAGCCGCGTAACTTCCGGCAACTCTCTCCTCCTCTACATTTCCCCCTCCTCCCCAGTCCACAAGTCGCGGCTATTAATTCGATCCGTGCTAATGTTTCGGATTCGGATTGGAACATTTTTTTTTTTACCTTATTAAAAATATATACGTGGCCCTGTAACAAAATATTGATTGGGTAGTCTTCTGACGGCCATATTAAATTGCCCGGCAAACATTTAAACTTTTTTGTTGTGGGGGGTGGATGTCAGTGTACCCTTAAGAACTGACATTTTTTTAACCCAGGAGAATGAGGAAACAAAAGTACAGCAAAACCCGAAACTCAAATTTTTTTAGATTTATTTTTGTCCTGCCCTTTTGTTTCCCCACTCTCCAGGGTTGAAAAATAGCAACCAATCATCTTGTTGATTAGAAACACGAGCAGGAGGAAGGAATAAAAATATTAGCCAGACGCCATCGATCGATCAAACAGAAAAGAGAAGAAACAAAACTAGAAAAATATTTGTTTGTAGTTATGTTGTTTTTTTTTTTCTTCTTTTTTAAAACCAACTGCCGCCAGACTACCAACTATTAAAATAGTTGGTACTCTGGCGGCAGTTGGTCCTTTCGTTCTTTACCTTTCCATGTTACGTTCACTAGGATGCTAGGATGTTGATTAGCTCATCTGTGACCCAGCTCAACTCATCTCCGTCCGACCTTACTTCAAATGGTCTGATTCCGTACTACACGCAGCGTACTGAACCGAACCCGAACCGTGAACCGAAAACCGGACAAAAACGTTATTTTCGCGCAAACCGGAGTTGACCTGGAACGAAATCATATTTCTCGCTCCGGAGTGGAACCGATATGTTTTCCATGCGGTTTTCGGTTCATACGCGAAGGCAGGTTGCGTGAAAAGTGCGTGGCGAAAAACACGGTAACCTTAAAAGTAAACAAAAAAATTAAAGAAAAAAAATATTTTTGCAAAAACCGGATTGGAGTTGGACCGAAATAAATATTTTTTTTCGTTTCTGGACAAAACTAATCAATTATATTTGCGGTGTTTCATTCATGTGAGAAGTAAAAAAGAAAAAACGAAAAAAAAATATATATAGGTAGCGTTTCATTATCAGGTTTTCAGATAACGGTCGTCTTTATAATTTATAAAGTTCGTCTCAAGAACTCAAACGAAATGAGCACAGTAGCTATAAATTCTGCGGGATTTCTAGTCTTATGTATTTCTTTAACAAATGCCCACGTTCGTCCCAACCTTTTCTTTGGGACTGGAAGTGGCTCATCAAAGAAAATTTAACACTAGAACAATCCCAATTCGTACGTCAGCAAAAGTGACCAATAAATGAGCCTGTTTGGTGGCAAAATGGTGAGTTGGGCAAGTTGGTTTTTCATCGCGAACTAAACGCAGAAGAAGGACAAAGAGAGGTATAGACAACACGCTTAAAGGGGCCCTGCAATGACTTTTTTTACTAATTTTTAATTTGCACCGAACCTGAGCGCACTGAACGTTGTAACTCGAAATTCGCTTTATTTTAAAAGTTATAGGCAAATTAAAATTACAAAAACAAGCAAGAAATAACCTTCCTCATGACGTCCTTGGTTGCTTGAGTGGCCGTGAACTAGAGGAGGGATAGTGGGCTCCTCGCGAGCGCTCACGGCGGCCGCACTCCGTGTCGACGGCTCGAGAGGGCGCCACTAAAGCATATTCTGGAGAGGCTGTATGCAGCGGGCAGCCAGAGCGGCTCTCATTGCATTTGCTGCGCGATTAAACACTAATTCGGCATGACACTTCATTGGCCACAAACGATAGTAAACATGCAATAAAGATCAGTTTAAAATGGGAGCCACTTCGCGCTGCCACACCGCGAAACGGCCAAACTGCAAGACAAAGCTTCTCGCCGAAGGTACCGAAAGCCTTCGGAACGCTCGGAGCCGGTCGGATCCTCCTGCCGATACGACCGCAGCGCCGCCGCGTACATCCGGGACCTTTCCGTGTCGGCTCCAGATCCCACTAGTCCTTTCTAGTATGCGCCGCCTTTTCCACCGCTTGGTGGCGGGTATGTCGACGGGTCATTTCTTGTTTCCGTACTTTATGAACTGCATTCGTTTATTTTCTGATCTAAACTACTGAACAAAAACTACTTTTATAAATAATTGAAACGGTTCGCGCCACTTATATTTTGTATTTCGACTAAAAAGAAGCTTTTAGCGGCTCTGACCAGTAGTAAGCCCAGGACCAAAGACGTCACATTTTGCGCGCTTTCGGTACCGCAGGTCGCCCTCGTCGGTGGAGGAGGTTTCCGCGTCGTCCGGTTAAAATATGACACACTGATATTTAGTCACTCTCTCCGTGCCCGCTGGCTTGCCCGAACTTCAAGAGACGTGAAAATCGCAAAAAAGGTGGACGTTTAAATATGATTGCAGGGCCCCTTTAAGGCCCGTTCACACTCTTGCGACAGAGTACGGCTGAGAGAGACGAGATCTCTTAAAACGTCTTAAATGTTTTTAGCATGAGGGAACACATTGGCATTGCGGCGCCATCTATGCGGCGTCCCTGGAACTGCATTTCACAAGAGCGAAGGTTTTGCGGGATTTCCGAGGTTAAATGTGCGTAATACCCATAGAAAGGCTCGTTTATAACATTGACAAAAGTGTTTCGAGCCAAGAAAAAAAGGATAATGCGCGAGAAATAAAAAAAAATATGCCAAACCGCCGAGTTTACACTGCTTCCCAATAGATGGCGCCAGTGTGTTCTCTGGTTCAGAGGTCGCAAGAGTGTGAACGGGCCTTTAGTGTTGTCTATAGCTCTCTTTGTCCTTGTTATCTATTTATTTTTTTTGGCGTTCAGTTTAAGCTTTATTTGGTGTGTCTTGTCTTCAATTTTGTAGAGTTGTGTGCAATTTACTTTAAACACCTTGATTTCATTGTGCAACTGATCGGATAAGAAAGCGATACAAAGGCCGATGGATATTTTAGAACCTGCACGAGTTGCCATACTGTGGTGCATCTAATCTGCTTTCAAAATAACTCAGCAGATTTAATAATCTCTTTGAAATTAAATTCTAGCACCGCGAAGGGGAGGGGGGATTTAATCAACAGTTACAACTACAGAAAACAGCAAAACACCTTCAATCTCTGGTAGCAGAAACAGCAAGGACCAAAACGTTTTCTCCTCAGAAACACAAACATCAAGGCGCTCAGCTCTTCTGAGCATTGCTAGACAAGGAGTAGCGGGTTTCAAGGGACGCTAACGTGTTGCAGTTTTGGGAGGAGAGAAGGGAACGCCATCCCAAACTCTACCCATTGGCTCAAGTAGTCCTGGGAGTGCCTGCGACCCAGGCCAGCGTGCAGCGAGCCTTTTCTGCACTGAAGTTCATCTCATTGTCTCAGAGGTGCCGCCTTTCCCCGGATATGCATGACGAGGTCCTGCTTCTTTGGTCAGCTGCCTGACATTGAAGTGCGCTTTCACCCACGTCCCGAGGTGCCCCAGCACCAGCTCCTTCGTTCCAGACAGTAATGTGAGCCTCTGGTATCTATATGAAACACTTTTATAAAATATGCATAGTCTATCTTTTTGCTGTCGTCAATTGTTTTTGTAGGATATGAGTACGAACCGGTTCGAACCGGTTTGAACCTTTATTTTTTCACTCCAAAGTTGAACCGGAGCTGAACCGTTTTCCCTGAAGCGGAACGAAAACTGGAACGAAAAACATTTCGGTTCGACACCCTGACCAGACGTGGGAAAATGTCCGGCGCTACTGCAGTCACGTTAGGAACGATCGCGCACATTCAACACCGATCGAAGCTGAGCAAGCGAATTCTCCACTTGGAACACCACAGAATGTCCGCGATGTCCGGTTGTCCGTAGCATCACATTCACCATTTCTGCGAAGCCATGAACGCCTCCCGATGCTGGCGCCACGCAGCGTTTATTTCCCTCACAACGTACGCATCTCAGCCCCGGATGTATGACGTCATTGAGAAAGCTGTCGCCATCATTGATCCTGATTGCCCTTTAAAGCCTTAAATTTAATCAAGTCCGGGCACGGGAACATGTAAGTCCTATTTTCTCCTCACTCGCGAAACCGGGCGTGACAGAACAAACCGATCTAAGGGGCAATGAGTGTTCAGAACGGGAGTCAATCGCCGCGGCTTCCTCCGAAGCCACCGGCGGCTTTGCTGCCCATCCCGAACTTTTTTTTTTTTTCCCTGCGCGCCCGACTGGCTATGATTCATAACCGGGGTCTTTCCTGCGGACGGTCGTTCGACGACGGTCCAGGCTAGCGTTTCGAGAACAATTGGCCCGTGGTTCGACCGGGAATCCGGCTGTTTCGGCGGTAGCCCTGGAATCGCCGCGGAACATCTCCATTTTGTTTCGAGGGCGCAGGGAACCGACACGGCTGGCCCGACTCTGCCGTCACTCACGTCGCGCTGGCTTCCTCGACGGCCGAGATGGCAGAACGTAGCGCAGCAGCGCTGCTTCCCACGGGTCGGGGTCGCTGTTCCGCGACGGATTCGATCACACCCGCAACACCGTGAGCACTGCGTCTGTGTCGATGTGGGCGGTGGGGGAGGCTACCTGACTGACCTGACGGCGATAAAGCGGCCCGCCCGTACTCTAGTACAGGCCAAACGACAGGGGGTGCGCGTTTTCGCGCACGTTCTGTCGCAACACCGAGGTGCACGCTGTCCGCACCGCTGATCTGTGCGAGCGAAACCCGCGTGCGGGACACCTCCGCGCACGGAGCCTTCCCTTCGGCCCCGTCATCGGGAGGTGCGCGGTTTAGGGGCGACGACGGCGCTTTCGGGTGGCGTCGTGCTGAGACCCGGAGAGGGACGGGCGTTGCAGCGGGGCCGCGGTGGGCGCATCCACCGCCGTCTGCTTTCAGTTGCCTTGAACGGCCCGTGTATCCACGGGGAAAGGCTATCGCGTTGGCATCGACGTTGGCGCGTGTACTGCCCAAGCGCCCGTCATACACACCCCTTTGCGGGGGAAGCCGCAAGAGATAACATCGTCCAAGTGACGTGTCCGAGAGGGCTCTCCGTTTCTTCCCGCTCGAGCTAGATGCGCTTTTTATGGCCGACAGCGCGGTTCAACGCGATCAGACAAGGAACACCGCTCGCAGACTCGAAAAGAACCAGCATTTCGGAAGCCCGAGCAAATTCTTCAGTGGCTCCACTTCATGAACCAGTTAATCGCTAGCATGGTCGCCAGTCGACGGCGCCGATAAAGGTTAGCAGTGTTTATTCGGGTGTCCATGAAACAGTGTTTGGTGATTGTTCCTTTCATTGAACTATGCCATATTGCTGATAGAGCAAACTGTCGCCACTGGAATGTGCTGCCTTCAAAGTGATGAGCCTGTGCCTGTCACCATTCTTGCCCCATATGGTGTTCCCAATCATGTTGAAGCTGCTCAAACGCCCAAATTTGCCGGTAAAATGCAGATTAGTGGCTATCGATTCGACTAATCAGTCGCGGAACACGACATACCCGACCTCTGGATCTGCTAGGCGGCCCCAGAGCCGTTTATAGAGAGGGTTTGGTCAATGGGAGGCGGGGGCAGTGCCAGGGCGTGCACCAGACTCGGAGAGGGCTTGGCATGCTCTCTTGACCAACCAGAAGCCGAAAAGAATCCTCTAGCGGTGATAGCGACAAACAGTTCTGATCAAAGGTATATGTCCATATATGGTTCTAATAAGCGCGTAAGAGTGAAGCGTAGTAACTCTTTGTGGTTGAAAATAGGGTGCACGTGATGTTTCGATCATGGTCATGCAAAAAGATGTAAGAAATGAATGCGCCGCTGAACTCTGTTTTGCTCGGACAGAGTGTGACCGCTCGGACAGCAGATTCCCGGCGCTTGGCGTAAAAATTATGTCGATCGTTCCGCTAGTTGCACTTTTTCACCATCATTTTGGATGAGCGCGATTGAAACATCACGTGTACCATATTTTCAGTGACCGAGAGTTACTCCGATGCACTTATCAGGTTTGTTTCTCGCGACCACTGCCAGTGTATTATCTCTGGCTTCTGGCTGGTAACATTCTAATTTCTGAAGACGCCCTGGAACACGCCCAGCCCGCTTTCGGCCAGTGACGCCTCCTCATTTGTCTCCTACTCTTCCCAACGAATGGCCAACTCTACATATACGGCTCTGGGCGGCCCAATTGTAGAGAATATTTTTGTTGTACTTGCCCAGTATCGAGGATCAAGCTGAAAATTGCCGACTGATTGTGGACGGTTTCTCATTGGGTTTGCACGTTTTGCGACGTTTCAGAGATTACATGTGCATGGACGAGTCATTGAAAATGCAACCATTAGTTTCGATCGTGCAAATGACGCGTGCTCAGTGTTCGGGGTGTCCTTTCCAAAAAGATTGCAGCCCTCAAATGTTTTGCACCTTTTCTGTGCTATTGCATGCATGACATCGAACAAGCGGGTCGGTGGTTTGGTTCTCACTCTTTGATAGTGTTAGACCACAGCCTGCTCCCCGGCCCGACCATAAGCATGCGCAGCGGGCACCGGGCATGTCCAGTGGCAAACAGTTGACATGACAGCCGCTGGTGTGTGCTCCCCCCCCCCTCCGCCACCCTCCCTCCCCCTGGAAGTCGGGCGTTGGTGTGGCAACAGGGAGGTTGAAGAGCGTTAGCTGGGTCATTAGGCTCATTCTTCTCGGGCAGAGATAGCCAACATTGTTTCTTTCGAGAGTAGCAATATGGTGCAAGAATAACGTTACTTCCACCTGCAATAGAGTGCAATTCATGCCCTCTAGGTGACTGGGGGCCACGGAAGAAATCCACCCTATCTGGGAATCAATCCCAAGAACTCTTCCAAGACTAGCGGAGTGCTCCACCGACTGAGCAAATCAGAAGCTAGTTGTCGACAAAGCAATCCGAACAGCCAGCATATCATCAATGAAGTTTGTTTTGTTGTTGCCCTCTTTGTCATTGCGTAGAATGTTTTTTCGACTTTGCCTGTTTCATAAAGTGTATCATCATCAGTCGCTGTGAGACCATTTCTTTACATTGCCTAACTATTACTCTTCCCGTCTGGACCATCAGAATAAAGTTGGATTAACACGTTGCCAAACAAACACTTTTTTTTAATCATTTATCCCGCATACATCAAACGACTGGAACCGCCTTCCAGCAGATATCGCAACCATACCCAATTTTCTTTTTCGCCATTCTTTGATTACATTTCTGTTTGTTGAGCCAACATGAGTCATTTTATTTTGCTTATTTTGTTTGTTCGTAACAGATGTTGCTTACAGCTTTTGCCAGTCGCAGTGTATTTTTGATATTTGAATTTCTTGCCGTATGTTTTTTGTTTTGTCATTTTGTTTTATTTTTTTTTGCTTTGCCCCTCCCCTCTACAATCCTTCGGCGCTTGAGGGTATATACAATAAATAAATGAACAATAAATAAACGGATGTTAACAGTTGCATCCAATTTTGATCTGATACACTGCAAAAGTGAGATTGGATGCTTCAGAAGTTTTTGAGGGGAAAATTTATGCATCCTTGGGGCCTTGCTTGCACCTTATCTCAATCTTTTGCGAAGCCACAGTACAGGTGTTTTGCAGGTAGAGCTGTAACATCACTCATTAGAAGTACGAGGGTCGTTCTGAAAGTAATGCCTCCTATTTTTTTATGTTGGCCCAAGACACCACGGGTGGACATTCTCGCCAATATTCGGCATAAATTTTGTGGCCGTGTGACAGATGGCAGCACAGTGGCAGTTTGACAAAATTGTGTCTGACATTGCCGTGCGTATGAAGCGGAGGTTAGTAATTGAATTTCTGCACATGGAAGATTTTGCAGCCATTGACACTCACAGACTCTTGCATAAGGTGGAAGCCGCATTCGGGGCAACCACGCACAGCTGTCACACTGCAAAGGGAAGAGCGTCTCCACCAGCTCGTATGCACAAATCGGTGAATGTCGATTGGAGAAATCTCTGCCAGGGAACACTGCATTGCAACCCTGACCAAGCTAAAGACCCAAATTAGAGGCCAAAGAAGGAGGAAAAACTACTCTTCGAACGTATTAACATTGGGGCTTGTACCAGTTTAAGGACATAATGGCAGTCTTGGCCAAACTGGCCTACCGCACCTGCCGTTCGGTCTGGATTTGGCATCTTCAGGTTTACATCTTTAGAGGATAAAAGATGAACTGTGTGGGAAACATTTTCCTAACAGGAATCCCGTCATGTGTGCCATCTGATACATTGAATACCCATGGGGTGATTTAGTACAACGTAAATAAAATGCAGGCTTGCACATGTGAAACCTGTGTTCCATATTTTCAGAGTATGCTTGTTTCTTGGTGAAATTCAAGGGGGGGGGGGTTCAGTGTTTGGTGTGATTGCACTCCCAATTGTGCAAACCTTCCAATGAAAAAAATTGCCCAAGCACAAAGGCGTAAAAAAACAAAAAGAAGCTTTTCAATGGTGTGCAGTAACAATACCGTACGCCGTTATTAAAAATTACTGTTTCCTCTTTTCTCTTGGAGGACCAAATGATATTGACTAAATTCAAAACCAGAATAACTGACACAAAATAACGCTTCGATTGGCGGTTCTCAGAACCCAGAAATACAACTGTATTGTCCAACCCAACGTCCTATACGGACGTTGGCAAGAAACAGTCGGTGAACCCTACCGAGCTTAAAGGAGCTGTGCAACATTTTCAGTGCTTTGCTTAAATAATTTGGGAGTTGGTGTCTCGACCTTTCTGAAGCAAAGAACAAGAAATCGCTTTTGCCTGCATGTCTTAGTTTTTATTTTAAAAATGAACAAAGATTGAGGTTTTCGGCGCCTCTCAACTCCTTAACCATCTTCCGAGTCACGTGCGCTGTAACGTCAAGGGGGGTGGCGCGGGGTTCCAGTGAAGCTCCCTCTCTAGAACCATCCGTGAGCAGCGAGAACTCATCCGCTCGTGACCGCGGACCACGTGCTTGGCGGGCGCAGCGCAAACAATATGGTGAAAAGAGAAAAGTCTCATTTGGGTCCATCCATACCCTTCCAAAATATATCTACATATAAATAATAAACTAAAAAAAAACTTTTTGTGCTGTTGCAATATGAATGTGGAATGATCTATCTGGCTCACAATACTGTTGGGCAGGTTATTAAAGTCTGCTTTTGTTAACGGCAAAGTGGAGTTAAGTAAGGAAACTGACGAAGCGAAGATCAGGCGTACCTTACATGCTTTATCAATGCGAGGCAATATGCAATTGAGTGGAAATAGCAATGATGTTTTGATGTCACTGTTATGATAGTAGATCTTGTGAAAGAAAGACTGCTTTTTTTCTTTTTTTTCTTTTTTTTAAAGACCCCAGGTTAGCTGTCTCATTATCAGGCCCATTTTAGGGATCTCAGAGTTCATTTCAAAGAGAACATCCTTTGGGGTTCCCTACAACCTGAGAATTGACCATTTCCATTTGGCACACATGCACCTGCTTTGTGGGGAGTAATCATGTTTTGCAGAATGTTCTAGAGGTCATTGTCCATTTCTCCCCATGCTTATATTTTGCTTGGCAATAAACCTTAATTAACAGTCAGCCTGATTTTAGATTTTTCGAAAAACAAAATTGACAATTTACAAAAGTCATAGCTGCTTGCCTAAACATTAAAGGGGCCCTGCAACAACTTTTTGACTGGTTTTTAATTTGCACCGATCCTGAGCGCACTGAACGTAGTAACTTAATAAACCTTTCTTTTCTCAAATTTTGCTTTATTTTAAAAGTTATAGGCGAATTAGAATTACAAAAACAAGCAAAAAATAACCTCCTTCATGACGTCGTAGGTCCTGGCTTGAGTGGCCGTGAACAAGAGGAGGGATAGTGAGCTCATCGAGCGCTCACGGCTGCCGCACTCCGTGTCGACGGCTCGAGAGGGCACCACTAAAGCACGTGTTGGATAGATAGGCTGTATGAAGCGGGCGGCCAGGGCGGCTCACGTTGCATTTGCTGCACGATTAAAGACTAATTCGGCATTACACTTCATTGGCCACAAACGACAGCAAACACGGGGTAAAGATCAGTTCAGAACGGGAGCCACTTCGCGCTGCCATACCGCCAAATGGCAAAATCGCCAGCCAAGCCCGCACCGAAAGCTTTCGGAACGCTCGGAACCGGTCGGATCCTTGAGCCGGTATATGACCGCAGCGCCGCCGCGTACATCCGGGACCTTTCTATGCTCGCCGTTCGTCAGCGCCTCATCCCACTAGCCCTTTCTAGTATGCGCAGTTTTTGCCGCGCTTGGTGGCGGGTATGTCGACGGGTCATTTCTTGTTTCCGTACTTTATAAACTGCATGTCATCCTTTTCTGATCTAAAATACTGAACAAAAACTACTTTCATACATAATTGAAACGGTTTGCGACACTTATAAATTTTAGCGGTTCTGACCAGTAGTAAGCCCAGGACCAAAGACGTCGCATATCGGGCGCTTTCGGCAACGCGGGTCGCCCTCGTACGTGGAGGACGTTTCCGCGTCGTCCGGTTAAGATATGACGCACTGATATTTAGTTACTCTCTCCGTGCCCGCTGGCTTGCCCGAACCCTAAGAGACGTGGAAACCGCAAGAAAGGTAGACTAGACACTTAAATATGATTGCGGGGGGCCCCTTTAGAGTGAATTGTGTTAAATTTCAGGAAAATCTATTTCTCTTTGTACACTCTTTTGCTGCTGCACCATTAAACCCCTAATCAACATGAAACGTCCGTTGCAAACTTTCATTTCTTGCTCCGAAACCTTTTTGTTTCAATATTTTTTTACTTTATTTTTAACAGCATTATTGCACTGGAATAATATTTCGGGGAATAATTTGTGGTTTGTGCATCTGGGAACGTTGATCTTATGAATGTGCTTTAAATTGCACGGTAGAAGCTCAAGTCCCCTATGGAACAGTCGAAGGAGTGGTAACACAAAAGCTAACGGTTGCTTTATCCCTGATCTGTTCTACAACATTTACAAGCTGTAAACTTTTGAGGACTTTGTTCGTTATACGGTGACGCATCTGTGTTTTCCTAATTTGTGCCACGTGATTGGGCAGCTGCAACGGGACTGCCACGGTTGACCGGCGAACTGCAGGGCCCCGCGCCTGCTGCAGTCCCCACTCATTGTCCTCTTGTGACCGAGCACCGCTTGCCTCACAACATGACCATGTTGGGAGCCATTGTCGTCTGCCCACGTTGCCGCAGGTCTCAGCCAGGAGCAGCGGGCGGAGCGGGGGCAGCGGAGCAGGAGGGGGGCCCCAAGCCCCCCAACCCCCAGCACCAGGCTGCCTCCAAGCGGATACAGCAGACCCAGGCACAGGTGGACGAGGTCAGGATGCCTTCCCCCCCTTTCTCTCTTCTCTCGAGGCCCATTAGGACGCTCGAGACTCCTCGGAGCAGGGCTGCACAACTCAAAAATGATGCGGCGAAAAGAAAATGTTTGTTGCAAACTACGCAGGTTTTTAATTACTGGCAGACAGGTTTTCGATACCTGGCATCATCGCACTGGTTGCCGTCTTGGGCATGTCTCGCAGTGTCACGTCTGCGGGCCGCACAGGAAGTGCCTGCGAGAGCCGGATGCAGGCTGCAGGCCTCGTGTTGTGCACCCCTGCTTTAGAGCCTTAAAAGCATGCTGGAGACGTCTGTGGGGCAACCGTGGAGCTGCGTTTCGCTGGTAGTGTAGAGAAAAAAGTGTAGAGAGATGTGAGCTGGTGTTTGGCACCCATGCTACACATGAGATGGGCAAGAGCCAAACAAGATAGCCAAAAGCTTGGACAGTATATTTTTCTTTAGCAACAGACCCTGTAGAAAGTCTATCGATAGCTTACAGTGTTAAATGCAGTGTATTTCACTATATCGATAGCTTACAGTGTTAAATGCAGTGTATTTCACTATATCGATAGCTTACAGTGTTTAATGCAATGCATTTCACTATGTCTAGTTTCGGTGCTTGCCATTATTGAGTGTTTAAGGGCACAGGGTAAGTCCTATACTCCCCATGCATTTGAGGCCATGTTGAGGAACATTTTTCTCGGTGACTATTAGGAGTATTCTTGTCATGTAAATATCATTTTGTTCGAAATATTGTGTTTTATCCACTGAACTAGAACTATTTGAACCAATCTAAAATAAGTTTTTTTTTTATATTTTTTTATTCTAGTACTGAAATTTTAGTTGTTTTCATCTATTAAAATCTTCGTAACTCAAAAACTGCTGGGTGCACATTTTTAATTTTAGTTCAGTATTTTTGAACACCCATGTATGTGGTAGGAATAAAAAATCAACCCTCTATAATGTCAGGTTAAGGAAAAAATGGTACCTATGTACTAAAAAACACTGTTTTGAGATAATTGAGTTTAAAGTAAAAAAACTGGTGAATAACAAATTTCTATTGGCACCAACAGCCTCAGAGTCATTTTTTCAATAGCCGCCAGCTTGAAAGGCATTGCTAAAGTCATGTCTTCACCTTTAGGCTTATTGCCTTGCTTGCCGGGCCTCTTTTGTGACCTGCCATGTCGCTTGGTCCGTAAAGTATATTAGAGTGACGTCAACTTCCCTCAGCCACTTGATGACTTTCCAAACAGGGTTCCATCCACAAAACTTCAAAACATTGGCTTGTGCAATGCTGCCACCATTGAATAAAGGAACAGCATTCAATGGCGCCATTTTGTCGTTACGAAAACACAAACGCTTGAATGTACACACGGTACACACCTGGGAGAAACGTGCACAGCGTCTCGTGATTGTCTTGGTTGAAAAAAAGCTATGCAATAGTTGCGAAATAATTTTTTGAGATTATCTGTTACTGGACAAGCTTTTAGGTCTTGTGTTGATTTTGTTTTGTTGGAGAATTCATCGATAAACAGGGAGTGTATCCCAAAAGGAGGCGTGGTCACCTGCTACCTGCTTTCGGAAGAAGTGATTTTCAGCCCGAAATATAGCTTTTTAAAAACACTGGGACAATGGAAAATGTGCGGAAAGAACTAAACTTTTCGAATTGCGAAAAAAACTAAAATCGAATTTTTTTTCAATTTTACCTTACCCTGTGCCCTTAACAGAAACCCGTCTTACTCAACATGTAATTCTTCAAGCATCTTGTCTCGGGTGGCCACTTGGTTACCGAAGAAAGTGTAAATTGGCAAGTAGGCTAGCAGTGATCCTCTCGAGAGTGTCGGTTTCCTTATGTTCATTGTTACTGCATTAAGGGGGGACACTACCCAAAAAAGTGAATGTTTGAACCACTTGTCTAATTTAAATGACCAGGGTGTCTAGCGACCGGGAAAACCGGGAATTGTCAGGGGAATTTTAATTACCTGGAAAAATTGGGGAATGGTCAGGGATATTGTCAGAAAGCGAGCCCAGTCAGAGAAAATGAACCGGAAACGCGATCGAGTACCCTGAGCAAAGACTTGAGGACTTGGGCGCAGAAAAATAGGCAATAAATTCTGCTGAGAGCGGATCGCGGGCTTTGCTCACCTGATGTAGTGTGTGCTACCCGATGTAAAAGGAACAGCCAACGAATCTAGTCCAAGCCTTGGATTGGATTGGATTGAGGGGACGATGCTACGCTTGATTCAGTTAGAGCTATTAGTAACAAATGAGAAAGCCGCAGACCCCAATCCAAGCATTAAGCCGAAAGTATCCGAAAGTGTGCATCTGGCGGCCATGGCCATGCGCCAGGCTGCTATTCGGTTATTGAAGTGTGGTTGAGTGTCGTGCTTTAATTGTGTTTCCGGAAGTGGCCTCTTCACTGACGATGTCGGCGGCAAGAAAGTGCTTGTTTAAACCGGACTGGACGAACCTGAATATTTCAGAAAATGCAACTGGGGTTAAGCTCGTTCAAAATGATGCTCATAGTGCTTAACGCCTTGCGCTGTAATGGTCTTATATATTTCACCGCCTCTACAGTAGTCAGGGAATTTCACCTGTCAAGGAAAACCTGGAAAAGTAGGGGAATTTCGAAATAATAATTTGCTAGACACCCTGAATGACATATACAGGGCTTGTTTCTGTTGATGTTGGGAACATTTCTGCCAAATTTTTGTTAACCTGGGTGAAGTACAAAAAAATTGCAAATGTTCAAAGATGAAAGTGGTTGTCGCGTAGCTTTAGGACAATTCAGAGCAGATAGCTATGGAGCTATATTTCTATATTATACCATCTTTCATCACAAAAAATCCACATCAGCACAAATACTGTTTTGTAGATTTCCATCCTGTGTCCAAAATTTTAGTTCTTGAGCATGAAAAATTACAAAAATAAAAAAAATACAAGCTCGTACCTATCTTCCCCTTAAAGGGTAACTGCAAAGAAAAAAAGTTTTTTTAAACAGCATCTAAATTAAACTAGCACGTCACAAAAAAAAAAATGTTCCATGAAAAAAGCAATTTTTTTTAGCAATATTTATGCTACAGGACGTAATTTAGTCGGAGTCACAGCCTCACCACATTTGAAACTCCCGCTCTTTCGCCCCGCGCGGGGAAGAAGTAGGCCCCGCCCCGCGCTCTTGGATTTGCTCTCGGATTGACTTGGCGCTGCAGAGTTGAATGACGCACGCAGCGTCTCGACTTCCGGTGCATAAAGTGTGCATACCAGAGCCTTTTGTGGCTTCTGTGTTCTGTGCGAACTGTGCACAAAATGGACCCTGAATTGAAGCGTCAGCTTCTTGGCCGCTGCGAGCAACTGGGTCTTCGGCCATACGAAGATACATCGCGGAGGATGGCTGCCAGCAACAAAGACGGTGCACCGCCTGAGCCTCCCGAGTCGTCTACACGCTTCGACGACACCCGCTGGTGTCGTCCAAGCAAAAGTAAAGAGAACAGCTCAGGAAAACAAAAGTAACAAACCGCGCTATGAAAGCCAAATCCTCGCGTCGCTTGCTATCACTAACACCTGTGACAGCTGCTAAAAACACACTACTTCCAGGGGTGGAACGCCTGCGCCATTTGCGCCATTTTGCGCCAGACGCATTTGTCTGCGCCATCCTGCGCCATTTTGCGGAAACTGCGCCACTGCCAATAGCTTGCGCCATTATGCGCCAAATCGCACAACGTGCGCCCAAAAAAATTGTATTTTGTCTTGGTTTCGGTTTCTATCGACTCGACTGGCAACAATGAGCACGTTTAGCTTGGTCGGCCCTGCAATCCTTTGTTCTGTTTATTCTCCCTATGTATCTCGAGTCGGAAGCGCGCCTAAAAACTCGGGGATCGGATTCCAAGCGCTACACCACCTGCATGCGACTGGATTGTTATTCTTCAACCATCAGTGATTAAGCAAGTCGGCCGAGGTGAGGTCGAGTCGTTAAGCGTCAGATTGCCTGAGGCTCTGCGGCCCGGGATCCAGAAGTCAACCAGTGGAAAAAAAATGAGCAAAAGATTCCGTTTACTACTTAATCGTTATAAGTTGGAACCGCATTCCCGCAAGATAAATTGTGATTTGATAGAACTGGAAACGCTGTCCGATCCGAAATTTTGCCGTCCAGCAGCTCTCACGCGAGCGGTAGATCTGCTCGGCGTACTTTAACCTTGCTCTTGTTAATCGCTTTGAATACAATAACTCTGTTAATCGTAGTCTGCTGCTTCGATATTGAGTTGCACAATAGGATAAACTCGAAATTTGTTGCCCTGTTCCTCCTCGCAGCGGCACGTCCGTTGCTTACGCACGTCACGTGGTTCGCACATATAATTACTATGTCGAGCACGTGAGTTGTGCGATAAGCAGTGCTGGTTTGCATCTTGAGCAGCTGAAAGCCACTCAGAAAATATCAAGTACATTATCTTCAGAAACGTATGGTACTTGCGTTTTGGCTCTCATTAAGGCTCACAAAGTTCCAAGTTTTCGCATCTGTTACACTGTTATGTGTTATCCCATCTACCTAGGTTCCTAACCTCTCATGTTCATCTGTGCTGCTAAGCACTATTGAAATTGCTCCCGTGCTCGTCTAAGACACAAGCTGAAGTGCAATGAAAACTGATCTGAGCTGCTCCTAGCCTGCTCCAGAATGTAGTTTTAGCTGCTCCCAACCTGCTCCAAAACAGCGGTTTCAGCTGCTCCCGTGACTGCTCCCAAATACATTTGATGAGTTCCACCCCTGTACTTCACTTCAGGAAATCTCACTCAAGCACCTGGGTCAACAGGAAACACCGATCACTTAGGTGAAACGACTAGTCAAGGTAGGCGAGACGGGCAAGAGGAGAGACAGTGGTGGAAAGAATGGCGAAGCTTTTGTTTGTTATGGTATGAATCCAAACGGAAGTGCCCGTCTTGTAAACCTTTTTGTAAAAAATAATAACTCTCATTACATGGGTTATTCTTTATCCGTAAAAATATGCCGCTCAAAAGGAAATTACAACATGTCGCAAAGGTTTAACAACCAGGATCTAAGCTGTCAATCAATCTCTTAGCCCATGAGAAGTTACTATCGCATGTCGCTCCGTGACGTATAATAGCAACTCCATGACGTATAATACCAACTTTGTGGCGTGCGATTTAGAATGGACGAAATAGCCGCAAACTAAAAGCAGTCTCGCACAGTAAATATTGCTGTAAAAAAAAATTTTTTTTTCGTGGGAATTTTGTTTTGTGACATGCTTGTCCCAATTAGGCTGTTTAAAAAAAATGTTTTTCTTTGCAGTTATCCTTTAATATTTCACATGAGAAAAACTCATAAATATTAATCCAAGTTACGTAATAACAATACTATAGTTTTCCTAAAGTGAATTTTCTGCCAAAAAGTGGAATAGAGAAAAATGTGTTCAAATTGCTCCAACCTCTACCTTCAACATTGGCGGACCAAAAATAATTTATAAAAAATGAATTATGCAGTGTAAACTAATGGAGCTTTCTGGGAATACTGTCTAGATGTTGGTGGATGTTAATATGACATTTTTCAAACTCAACTTTTTTATGCAGAAATTGTTTTTTCTGGGTAGTGTCCCTCTAAATATAATGAGTTGACCTCTAATGCCACTCTCAATCTTTTGTAACATCATCCCTTGACTACCATAATAAGGTGCAGATTTGGTCTACTTGGTCTGTGTTTAACTTAGAAAAATAACTCAAGAAAATAAGACAGTCTCAGTAAGGACAATAGTGCTTCATTTGTAGTTTGTTCATAGTTGTTTTCTTTTCTGTGCCACATTTTGTACCTTGGACGTGTGGCTACTTTGATTGGCGCGGTCTGTGTAGCCTAGCAGGGATTAAGTGTGGCGGTCCCTCGGAGTCGTCGGACAGGCTTTGTCCTAACTCGTCCCAAAATCTGGCACGACAGTTGGTCCGTTCTTCAAATTGCTCCATACACTTGTTCACGGTATCTGCCAACAGGAATGCTTCTGAGCGTGTGCACAATCTCTCTCCAGTCAGGGAACAGGAGAATTCTGGAAGAGTTAGGCCAAGCACACACTTAACACAATTCAGGGTATGTGGAAAGCATAAACAAACGAGACAGTAAGGACACAAGCACCTCTTTCAGTTAGAAATGTTTTTGGTAGGACTGCATCCGCATTGTCTTGAAGGTGGGAAAATCCTCTGCTAGGAACATGCACGTCTGAAAAGCATCCCGCACTTTGGTCCTATTTCAAACCACTTTTCTAGAAATTATCTTTCGGGGCCTCTAGCAATTTTTCATTCTTCCTGCGATGTGAAGGGTTTTTTGTAACATTCCTCGTGAAAACTGCTCAGCATGCAATACCAAGCTTGGGGTATGCGTGACCTACTTGCCAGCTTTCTTTTTGTCTCCCTATGCTTGCAAGATGAGTGATATGGCCCCTCCATGGGCAACCCACCAACATTGTAGATCCATGACCCCCAGTATGGAGGTCATGGATCTACAAACAAATCGGAGACAAGGGCCAAACCCCACCCCATCTCTGATTGCATCCTGTGGCGTCCCGTCGCAAGCGCTCTTGGAGCAGGGTTTGGCCCACAGTGGGAAAGAAGGGTTAGCGGTACTTCTTTCGCCGATTGCCGCAGAGTAGTGAACCATATCTAAGGACTCTCCACTGGGTCTTTGAACACCGCTTTTGCATCCATTTTAAATTGCCTTGTTCCTCAAACTTCTTTCGAAGGTTTGCTTTTTCAATCTCCCTTTGTCAAAAATCAAAACAAGAGGAGGAAAGCTTTTCAACTCTGCTTAAAAAAACAGCCAAATTAAAAAAAAAAAAAAAATTAATACACATTTAAAAGAAGTTTGCAGAAGAACATTTATTGCAATAGTTACGTTCTTAGATGCAGTTTAAGTAAAGGTATCCCTGCTCTAGGCCTCCTCGCCCGTAACGGAAGGTGCTTAGCTAGCTAACCTTCATTTCTCGGCTGGAGAGATGATTGATGTGTGGAATGTTTGTTGTAAAATTGTTTCTTCCTGCCAGGGTAGGCTTTCATTTGACATATCTTTGTTTGAGAAAGGAACAATAGAAATAGAGGCATTATTGTGCTAAAAAAATGTTAAAGTCACCTTTTCCATTTCGGTTTCAAACGGCAACAAACATGGCTGCCACTGTTTGCTGCGGGGGGGATTATACACCGCGTAACTCGTTGAATTTGTCTGTTTTTTGGAGTGCGAGTTGTTTCTCATGCACCGTGATGTTCAGAGGAAGATCTCAACTGACGATGTAGTTTCCAACAAACAACTGTCGCAGGTGCATGCCTTCGGAAGCGCTGTGCAGGAGCTTGTTTTCATAGCGTGATGGCATAACCCTAACACCCCACGTCAACTATTTTGCTTGATCTGGCTTGATTTGTTTGTTTGTGAGTCTTGATGCTAAGCAAATAGGTCAGTTCCCATAAAAGCAGCCCCCTACTCTGAGAATCGTGCAACCGTCATGATTGTTACCATGGTTTCAGTACTGAGAGCTAGATACATGGGTAAGAATTTGCGAGCCATCTCGCTGAAAGCAGTCGGGTGTTTTCCTCGGATCAGGTTTGTCCAGATATGTTTCCGTCATTCCGCTTTGGAAGGCCCGTAGCTTTCAAGTTTGTTGCAGTGCACCTGATAGAGTTAATACAGTGATATAAAAGGAAAGGTCCAATGCATTCGGGCCGCTTTGGAACGGCGGTGCATGGAGGCAGACATCAGTGGTTTTATTTAGTGGTCCCGATGGGCCCATATCGCTGTTGATGCGTTAATATGCACAAACAAGCAGCAAAACATCACTTTTGAGGTCTGTGCCTTGTTTGTTTCTAGCTTACTTTGCAGAAGAACACCAGAATCGCACATTGTATAAAACTCAATGAGCTTGACTAGCGCTCCAGCAACTTCAACTCATCGCGGCAAAACGAGCACACCTAACCGATAGTCTGCTTTCTTTCTCCCCTCTTCTGTTGCTCTCTTTTTTGTTCTTTCTCTCGGAACTGCCGATGTCAGCTCCTAGGGTTTTCCGCATCGTGCTCCTGTCTTCACCTCCCCCTGCGAATAGCAGACGGATGCAAGCGATGGCGGAAGCCGACGCGCTGCTTTCATGGCCATGTTTAACAGGCAATGCACAGGGCAATGACCGTATTGCGTACCTTGGCTGCATCGTTCTTGGTATCGTGCTCAGCAATATCAATCAGCTCAAGACTAAATAGATGCTCCGCACGCATTCCATTTTTTTTTTTTATGTCGATCAGTATGGATTTTTGTTGGTCTAAGTAGTTGGGGTGAACTTAGATATGTTGGGGAATTTCGAGCTGAAATGGTGGCAGATACCGTGCTCTTGTGTTGGAGAGCCAAACAACAGAGTCGAGAAGGCCTCCCGGCATTGCGGTGTTCAACCTGTTGTTGGCTGCTCGGAGAGTGTCTCCGAGAAGGGCCTCCTCGTGCAGTCAGCTCTGCGAGGCATAGCCTTTGTCCTACGACTTCGGAGGGGCCCCGTCGTGAGGGCCAGGGCTGAATGGGGGCTTCTCTGTACCGGGCCCAGGTGGTGGGCATAATGCGCGTCAATGTTGAGAAAGTGTTGGAGCGGGACCAGAAGCTGTCTTCCCTGGACGACCGAGCAGGTGAGGCACGCCGGGTCCCCGGGGGCCGGGGTGTGGCGACAACTGGGCCCGTTTGGCCGCCGCAGTGACGCTCAAACTCTCTTACGGCCGGCCAATCGTCTTGGGGAGTGTCGGCATGCTCGGCACCCGTCCCCAGTTGTCGCCGTACCCCGTTTGACTGGGAGAGTTTGTTTACGCTTAACGGGTGCCTAGTCCGTCTGCAATGTGGATGGCCGTCCTCTCTGTCCGGGCCCGCTCTCCTTCCAATGTGAGGCAAGCGTCTACTAACAACGTCCGTGTGTTCCCCGCCCTCTGGGCCTGCCCTGACCTCTGGTGGCTTTTTCCCCTCCCCTTCTCTCTGCCCCTCTTTCCTGTTTTGCGTTCAGGTTGTGGATATCATGCGCACAAACGTGGAGAAAGTGCTGGAGAGAGATCAGAAGCTGTCGGAGCTGGACGACCGTGCAGGTAATGCCGGGCCCCGTCTGCTCGCTTGCCCCTTCCTCAGTGTCCCGCGAATTGCACCAGTCTATCTCCCGGAACGCTGTGCTCCCCCTGCACGGCTGACCCACTCCAGCTGCCTTCGGTTAAGCTATGCGTTCTTGCCTTAGTGGTGGTGTTTCATTTTCCACACCCTTTGCATAAGAACTAGGGTCGCAGCAGCGGAGATCTCATTTGCTTTCTATTAGATTGGATTGCGCGAGATGATTTCTTTCCAGGGATTAATGTTTTTGGCTGGCAGTTATTTTGATGGAGCAGGGAAGTTCTTTCTATTGCGATGTGCGCGAGCCTCGAGTTAATTGCAGGACGTCTCTCTTATTGTGATTTGTAGTTAAATGATGCAGTCCAGAGGGGGGATCAGTGGCCGGGTGGGCTAGCGCATAGCAGCTCTGGGTGTGTGCAGCAAAAGCTCGTGCTGCAGAACCCCGGGGGTTCGATCCGCACCTGTGCCCGTTTCAGTCTGAATGAGCATAATACCGGCATGTGGTCGGGCTTCACTACTGCGTGTTGCACGTTGAAAACCCCAAGCTACTAGTTGTAGTGCACTGGCTAAATTTCTCGTCTACATCTGAGACACCAGATGCCCATCGAAGCTGACTAACTTCCGGCTCTGTAAACATACACGTGATGCAATTATCATTATGTAGTCCAGAATTTTCACTGCAGGTTTTGCGTTGCACGTAGCGCAACACCGTTAACGTGATCGGGCGATTGCCAGTTTTCTGCTTTCCTCTTGGAGATGAAAGGCTGTCATCACAACTAGTACTAGGGATGAAAAGTGCTGACTTGGGGCACAGACCAAAGCAATACAATTTGCCCACCTTTTGAACTGAAATGCCACAAACCAATAGTGTCGTGTTTGCTCTTAAACACTGTTGGCACAAACCTGACATTGCCACTTTTTTTTAATTTCATTAAGACTGGGTATTGACAAACATGAAATTCGACCAGTTAAGTTAGTGCCGCAAATGAGCGCTTTGCTTTCGAAAAGTCCTAATTTTAAGACAAAATTTGCGAATTCCTGCGCTCACGTTACGCTAACTGCATTGCACTTGTGCTCTTTGCCAGTGCGGCATTATTAATATCACTTGTAGTAAAATCCTCCACTCAGTAGTTATGCGTAGAGCTTTATGAAGACTGGAGAACCTTTCAGACTGGAGACGCTTCTTCAGCTTGCATGAAATGCCGAGCTACTGTGCTGCATATCATTACCATAAACTCTAAGAAGGACGGTGCTTTCCACCGATATACTTTCAAAAGAAACGCAGATGAAGCAGGCTCTTGGGGTATTTTTTCAACTAATGCAGGTTTGTTCCAAGTGATTTCTTTCGCGGGTGTTGCCGCTCGGCTAGACTCGTGCAAGCCTAGGACACCAGGGCTTGGATCAAGGAGATGCAAAGATCCTTTCTTCAGGCTTTTGGTCGTTTTCGGATCGTTCGGTTCTGGGAACATTAGGGATCAAATTGCAGCTCTTTCCCCTGGGAGTTCCAATCACAATTGGCCTCATTGGCACCTCTCTGTTAGCCTGTTAGATGCAAGTTTAATATGAAAATATCATTTACTGGTTTGGAATACACAGTTGGGTATGCGAGTCAAATAAATATCTAAGGCAGAATCTTCCAGCCGGGGCCTGCGCAACAGTTATATAACTGCTTAGTGAATCTTTACCGTCCCCAGTTTCCCTCAGCGTTCGGCTGGCCCAACGCATTCCTTCCCCTTCGGAAATGTCGGGGTTTCTCGTATCGCCCCAGGTGCTTGCACGGCCCGAATTTGTGTCCGAGGCTCCGAAGCACTTCGGAGTTGTCGGGCATTGGAAGGGTTGGCTTTTCAGTTATTGCACATCCTAGCGGAAGCGCCAGGAAAATGGCTAGCAGTCGATGATGCTCTAGAAGTGCAGCTTGTGATCGAGCTCTTTCTGACTGATGTTTGTTCGCACATATGGTTTGCACAGGAGGTTTGGCTTTGCCTTTACCCCGTCTCCTCCCACCCGGTGGTGCTCTGTGTCGTCCGAGTGGCGTCTCTCCTTGCCTCGCTGCATGATGCCCCCTTTAACCGTGTCCCAAGATGCTTGCCTGTGCGTTAGGAGAACGTTGGGGCCCCACCTCTGCATTTGTGGCAACCTCTGTCGCCGTCGATGTGACTCTCTTTCCAAGTTTTGTGCCTCGTGGTGCTTGAAAAATTTTTCGATCCCCAAAAGTGCCTCCTCAGTTAAATAGCAGCAATTTAATACCCCTGTTACATGGGCACCTTTAACCGCGGTTAACTCGACTTTAGGTTCTGTTATGCGGCACCACAGTTGCCTCACTATACTCTCGGACAGCTATTTCAGGAGAAGTGAAGAGCGCGCATGCACTGCTTTGATGGTTGCTCAAGATTCTCAGGTGCACGTTCGCCCATAGCTTTGACTGCATAGCCGCAGAATGTTGTCTGCAAGTATTGTGCGCCAACTGTGGCTTAGCATAACTGCAGTTATTGTGCCCGTGTAACAGGGGCATTGGTTGTACAGAAGCAAAAGTTCTTGACAACTCCTTTTCTCAGTATCTAAAGAAATGATTTTGTTCTGCCTGAGGGAAGAGCAATTTTTTTAAGCACTCGGTTACAGGGAGACTTTTCCCTCCCATTCCTGCTGAATGCCTCCTTTCCCAAGGAGTTAGGGAACTGAGTATGACATGAAATCTTGCTTCATATTCTACACAGTTGCAGTGGCAATACAAAAATATGTTAACCAGGATTCTCACTTTTAGCTAGCAATTTTAAGGTCAAATTTTGAACATTTTCATGTGGAAATTTGGAGACATGTCAGAACCCCAAAAAAAAAAAAAAATATGCATTGTTGTCCAAGGGCAGCTCCGCTCCATTCCAAAAATTTAGTGATGCACGATTTTGCATCGAGATGTACAAAAATTGGCTCTGCACCATTTCTTTTCCGAAAACTTTTGATATCTTTCATGCACTCTTTGGAGATGATCACAAACCGAAACCGAAACTTCGGCTGCAACAGGCAGCATTGACATTGCACTGGAAAATGGCAGCATCCGTGCGGTAGAAATGGTCACGTGATCCACCATGGCAATAGTCAAAGTGCAAGTGTTGCCGTGTCCTGCGTGCATGTCTTATAAACACACGGCTGAGGTTTGTAGGTACGAAAGGCTCTTAAGCTGAAAATGTTATGAAGAGGGGAAGGGGGGGGGGGGGGATAATCTCAGCTGAGCTCCCTCAGGTGGCTGGCGTGTTCATGATGCTGCATCCAGTGCATGCTTGTGCCAAGTGCAGATTATGCTGCTGGCACACTCCTTAGCCTTTGGCCCCTCAAAAAAGAGGGAAAAAATGCTTCTGATGTTATTGACATGGAGACATTACTCACTAAATTAAGCAGATTTCGCAGCTTCGGTACATCTCAAATTTTATGGGCCATTTTAATAAACATATTAGACGGAATTATGTTCTATTATGGCCTATCAAGTTTCTAGGGGATACTTAAGACAGCTGCATAGTTTCCTCAGCAACAAAAATCGAGCGGAGTTGCCCTTGGATGGTCAGAGGCAGTGTCCGAGTACTGCAGTTTGCTCGAGAACTTCGTATTATGCTGTGTCCTGTCAAGCTGTCCTTGCTTGAGTGGTGTCCAAACTTTTCTCTTAGGAGTTTCTGCGCTTTTTAAAATGGGCAGAACTTGGAGGCGAGCCATAAGAGGTGCATGCTTTATTTTTAGCCTGGTTTGGGACATAAAGAGCTCCTGGCTATGCTTACCCTGGGGTGCTTACTAAACGAGCCTGGGAGGTATTTATGCATATTAAGTTGTGTTGTTTCCCTCATAATTTTTCTGAGAAAAAAGAACAGTGTTTTTCGACCCGAGTAAATTAACCGTACAGCACAGAAAGCTCAAACTCCGCGAGAATGCGACGCTAGCGGTTGGGGTAGAACACGAAAGTTTGAGAGCATGACGTTGCCTGGATCAAAAGATAATCCAGAAAAACAAAATTTCTTTATGCTCAGATGTCCGCCAGGCCTAATATTGTTAGAACAAGAGCTGACATTTTAACATCTATTTCAGAAAAAAAAAAAAAAAAAAAAAAAACTTGAAAGTACAAAAGAAAGCAGTGTCTCCTTTCTTGCTGCTAAGCGTTTCACTAACATAAATCTCACAAGCTTCTACAATAGTTCTTGTCTCGACAATATTAGGCTTAGGTGTACGTCGGCTCGTAGAAAAATTTGACCTCAATTATCTTTTGATTTAGTAGCTTTGAGTCAAGTACTCAAACTTTCGCATTCTATCCTAACCGCTAGCGTTAGAATCTCACGGAGTTTGAGCTTTCTGTGGTGCATAGTTCAATCACTCGGGGCCGCCGAAAAACGCCATTCTTTTTTCTGGGGAACATCCTGTAGTTATGGTAAAGCCTGAGGCTAAGGCAAGAGAACAGCGCAAACACAAGGTCTCCAAAAAGATGCTTGTTTGTGCTGTCCTTCTCTCACTGCAGTCTCTGGGTTTTTCGTAATTATGTTCAATTTACACTGACTCAATCGTGCTTTCACTTTTTGTTCATATTAAATTTATCGGTGGAACAGCCAGAATTGTAGTAGCAAAGCCAACGTAAAGTATACTGGGTGCTTTCTGGGAAACTTGACAGGGTGTTTTGCATGTCAGAAAAATTGGAGCTTCACATATCAGCTAGCAGCATTGATAAGACGGAAGTTTGAGCCTAACATGCTTATCCGAACTTTAAACTAAAAGCAGGTACTGAAAACACAATTTCTTTTTTCTGCCAGCATTCAGATTTTTTTAACGCTATGGGCAAGGACTTTCACCGACTATAGCACTATCGTTAAGCAGAGTTTTGCCTCTCCAATCCGTAGCTTGCCGTAATGTCCCGAGATACGGGCCACCTAAATCGAGAGCAAATCGAGCGACTGTAAGGAGTGGGCTAACTTTCAGTGTGCGATGAACAAAATTTGAAAAAGTGCTGTTTCTAGATCACGTGACCTGCTAAACCTGTTATCTGAACAAGGGGCAATGAAGCAAAGATAGCAGTCCTTCCCAGTCAGCAATGTTCGCCTATCTCCCGCCGTAGCTAACACCATTTCCTCCAATGTTACCATTGGCCCAGGCACAGCATTTACCAAAAAAGAAAAACAATCTTTCGAGGTTTTAAACAAAAAAATTGCAGAGCATGCCAGGAAGAGGGGTGGTTTATTGTTAGGGGGCAGGGCACTTCTCGGGAGATTATGGTATCTGTTTTTTTTTTTCTCCGGTAAATTTTCTTTCGTAATTTTCTCAGTGCTTAGTTAACTTTATGGGATGGCGTGACGTTTTCCCTCGCATTTATGTGTTCAGCGACCGCTCCTTGCCGAGGGCGTTCCAAGCTGCACGGTCTCTAGCCGTTGCCTTGGCACATTGGTGCGTGAGAGTCTTGTCGCTCGACTGGCCCTGCCGGGGCGCAGCTTGAAGGGCGGTTGGCGAGGTTGCATGGGTGGGAGGGGCCCACGATGATCGCGGCGCCACTGACAAACCGTACCCCCGTGGCACCGCAGATGCCCTGCAGCAAGGTGCTTCGCAGTTCGAGCAGCAGGCTGGCAAGTTGAAGAGGAAGTTCTGGTGGAAAAACTGCAAGGCAAGGGGTCCTTTCTCTCCTTTTCTCTCTCTCAGAGGTGTGCGTTGGCGGTAGAGCCTATTGTTTGGTGTCGTGCGACTGGACCACTTCGGTGAAGCAGTGTAGAGAACCGGGGTGCAAAAAAGGGGCAAAAGATGGGGCTACAATGTTTTCACTTCAATATTTTTTTTTTTTTTTTTTTTCCATTTTGTTTCTAGGTGTTGTTTTTTATTGGCAGAGTTTGCAATGTCTAAAGGTTGTTCCAAAAGCGGCCGGAGATAAAAGATTAAAAAAAAGTTGCGGACAGTTTATCCGACGTGCTAGCTGTTGACACCTACTGTGTATACATGTAGGTGCAATGCTGTACCGAGTATGCGACCTGGTGAGGTCATTGCCTCCCAGTTCTACCGCTTTCACTTGTATGCAGTTGCGTATGCAGCAGGTTTTCCTTTAGAGCTACCAGCTCGTGCTTCAAGCTGTTGCCGACTTAACGCGCTTAAAGTGTATAGACAAGCCTTTAGTCTGAGGGTAAAGCTCGGTTCCCATGGTGATTTTGCCGACAGTCTTGCAATTGCAACGTTAAAAGGGCGATGCAAAAATTGTTTTACCTTCGATAAATACCACTCAGAATCATTCCTTGACGGTAATAACCTATGAAACCGCACATGAATTTTTTATTTTCTTCATGCAGTGCCAGTCGCAGAAAAAGTCTGAGAAAAGCTACCAGCAATTACCCCCTCAACTCGCAGCCACATTAAGCGGCCGGGTGATCTGGAGCAGATTACCTATATGCCACCAATGTTTATCATAGACGAACGTTGAGGTGGGCAAAGCATAGGACACGCATCGAGCTGTACACATGGTTAAGGTTCGGCTATTCCCGTCGTCGTAGCGGTGGGGCACGAGCCACCACCCGAGAACATGTCGAGGCATTGATTGTCAAGAGGCCAAATCAAATGCTCGCATGGTGCTCATGTCCGCCGTACGAGCCACATTTAAATATTGTCACCGCTTCAACCGCGAAGCTCGACGACGAAGTCCTTGGGATCGCATTGTCGACGACGCCAACAATGCGACCCCCACAACTTGGTCGTCGAGTCTTGCAAAGAACCAAGACTTTGTCGTTGAGTCTTGCGAAGTCTTGGTCAGTGACCTCGCATGCGAGTGTACTTGGGTCCCACTATACTCCGTTTCACGATAACTTGGCGAACTGTGGAAGCTGCGGCCCCCATGACCCAGTAAGGGCGTCGGAGCAAGGCACGTGACAACAAACTCTCCATGGTTGAGGCCACGGAGGCCCTGTTACCACCACGGCAACAGCACTGTCCGTGACAAAAAGTAGTTCAAGGCTTTTCTTTTTTCTTTTAATGGCAATTGAACTCGCGCAATTGCATCTCTATCAACATAACAGTAAAGAAAAATGAAAACCTGTTACTTTTCAACGATTCTCAATTCGGATCAACCCTTATCCGAGGACGTGGTTTTTGAACTATGTTTGAACAATCGCATCCCTGTGATCGACTGTTTCTGCTCAAAACTTTGCTCTGGCATTGGGGAGTTCTCATAGGTCGTTTTTGCCGTCCCGCTATGCTCTTGGCAGCCCGCTTCGATACCCGCAGCTCTACAGTCAAGGCCGTCGACAGGCAGACGCAGTAGCGACTTCTTCGTTGCGGAGGACTTAGCGGAGGGGAAATGCGGTCTACAGTTTTGCCAGTGAATTGAGCGTATGGTAGTATCGTGAACTGTTCCCGAAGAGCTCGCTACTCTTGCGGACGGCAATGTTGCGGCGGTGGGCGTTCATCCGAAGTTGGTTGGTTTTGCAGCAGACGACTCTTGGCTAGCAGATGACAGCCGGTTCCTCCGGGCCTCGCATTTGGCGCAGTGACTCTCACGCTCCCGTGATATGGTGACAAGTGCCTCGTTCCTACGCTCTTATTGGGTCGTGGGGGCCATAGCCTCCACAGTTCGCCAAGTTATCGTAAAACGAAGTGTAGAGTCGCTGAATGTTTCCAATGTATCGCATTCGATAGCATCCGTTGTGACTTCTATTTTAGCTGTGATTGGCCATTTTGGCACCGAAACATGTACGGTGGAAGGTGTCTCTGGGAGTGCCAACCCCATCTCCCATATCGACGGGCCGCGAGTTACCACCGAAGTTAGGATGTGCCTGGGTCAGGACGCGCTACCTGAAATCACCAGTGAGACATGGCTGTATAAAAACTATTAATTGTCCCGCGAAACCTTGTAAACTAAAATTTTATAAAATCGTCACTCTCCTGTGACTTTGTACCAATCTCCAACGAAAGCTCACAAAAAGAGCTTTTTCCGTTTGTTTTTAGATGTTCACAATAACCGCAATAAAAAAAAAAATTGAGTTTCTATTTTGACGCCGTTGAGCTTAGAAGCTTCGGTACTCCGGGAACATTCAGCGACTCTAGGCCCCAGTAGTGCCAGTAAGCTTGTTTCAAGTGAGAAACATTCCCACTCGGTATCTATTGCACGGCCTCTCTAATAATAACCGCCGCTTCCACCACACTTCCTTTGCCGTACCAGTGACTACCAGATCTGCAATATCGCGAGTAAAGTCGCACCATGGGAATCGGGCAGACGAGGTTTGTACGATGTTGAAACCCTGATGATGCAGGTCGGAGCGTGAGGATGAAGTTCCGAAGTTCCCTGCATTCTTTCCACCAATGGACCCCTAGGCCTAGCTTCTCAGTGACCCCTGTGCCGGCCTGAAATGGGCCTTAAAGATTAACGGCCGGGTTGTCTCGTTCTCTCTCTCTCTGTCTCTCTTTTCATGCATACGGATCTACAGATGATCGCCATTATGGTGGGCATTGGTGTAGTTGTGATAGTGATTATTATCGGTAAGTAACCCGCTGCACATTTCGAGGTGTGCTCTTGGGGATTGCTTTCTAGTTGTGCTCCGAGTTTGTGCTTGCGCCTGTTGAGCCCTCCACTTGTTTGTGTTGCGTTTGTTCTCTCGCATGCGTCTCGAGTTTGATATTGTTTCTCGTTACTTTTTTGTTTTCCAGATGTGGGCAATCTTAATTGCTGTCATTGTGGTCATAATCATTATCATTGTTGGTGAGTTTTTGTTTTGCATTTTGGTTGTTTAGTTTGTTTTGGTTTTTGGTAAAGTCTCCAAGTGAAGGACTGGATTTTAATGGAGTCTGGGAGGAGAATTACAATATCTTCTCTTTGCTTTATTTCTACCATTTCATTTCTTTTGTTATACGGAGATGATACAGGCCTCGCTGTTTCTGCTCCTTGCGCAGAAAAGGGGTGACGATGATTATTTCAAAGACCCAGTCGTGTAACTTCTCATGAGGTCATAATCTTGAAATCTGCTGTACACAGTTTTATGCATATCGGTCAAAAGTGCGCCTTAAAGGACCTCTTTACAGAGCTACGTAGCCACGTTTCTGCTGCATATTTTCCTTTATTTTGTTTGCTGCACGAGAGAATCGCTCGGCCCTCACTAAATGAGAAAGTCCCTAAAGATAGACCCCATATTCACTCGGGGCAGGAGGTTGGTTTTTCGGTGTTTCATTGGTACATATCTAGCATGACTTTTTCAGTCCGCTTTTATTGAACCAGAGACTTTTTTTTTTAAGGCTTCAGGTTTGTTTTCCAGTGGACTCAAGGAAGTGTCTGTGATCCGGGAAAATGTTAAAACTGACAATGCTTTCTCGCTCAATTTATTACTCATGGAATATGGTAGGTCATGGAATATGGTAGGTCGCTACGGCTGTGGCGACCTACCATATTTGTTGAAGTGAAAGTCAACCGTGTTATCTCTTACTTGAGGATTGTGGGTTGATCTTCAGTCGTAACCAAAGAATGTCGACTTATAAGATGAATGAAAGTTTTTGAGCCCATTGAGCTAACCCAGGGGTTTGCCATGTCAGCCGCTGCCCCTACTGCGCTCTAGCAAAGCACTGAAGCTCGACGCACTCGCTGGAGCAGGTGGCAAAGGTTCCCACAGGCGCGCCGTGAGCGGTCTACAGTTACAAACTTCGTGCATAATCTAGCGAGCGGAACCGGAAACAGTAGCTAAAAAGCTCCGACGTGCCAAAGATAGAAATACCCCAGTGGGAGTTTAACGGCACAAGCGTTCATAAGCGTCGCAGCTGGGAAAAAGTATCGGTGAAGCTCAACGGTGGTTTAGAAAAGTATGGAAGGGTGACTCGAGATGTCTGCAGGAAGTCTCGTGTGGCAAACATGCGATGCCTTTTTGAACAAAAGCTAATATTTTTAATTAAATGGTAGAATGTGTTAATGATGCGCCATTTTGAGAAGTTGCTGTGGCACTAACGAACAATAGTTTTTCTCTCAGCTCGCCACTTGGAAGTTTTTGTCTCTTTCGCTGGCTTAGAAAATTCATCCTGTAACGTTGTTCCAGGTTTGACAACGGACAAGGGATTCAAACCTTCCTGCTTTTTAGGCAAAATATACGACGTAAGCTAGTGTCATTAAGACAGTCATAACAGCCGATCCAGAAAATTCACCGTAACAAATTTTTTTATCGCAGAAAACTTTCTCATTTAGTGAGGACCGGGCAATTCCTTCTTTGGTTGCCTGTGTTGGATGCTCTGCTCTGGGCAATGACTTGCATGTTGCATGAGCGCAATTCTTGTGTTGTCTGCACTGCCATTGCTAGCGGCCAACCATCGTCTAAATCAAGTGCACGGTAGTGTTGCCAAACGACCCGTTGCAACCTCTGCAGTATCGCCTTCTGAGCATTTTGTTTGGCGGGCCAAAAGCGCATGGGAACCGTGGGTGGATTGGGGGCAGTTGAGTAGGTCTGCCCTGGGTAAGGCAGTCGTGGAGAGTTTCTTGCTTCTCGAACATCTTTCGTTCCACCTCTTTCTTCGGGGTTCCAATTGCGCCTGCTACGCCACCTATGCAGTAGTGTTTCGAGCACCTTTTTGACCAACATCTGACCCCCAATCGCCTCCTCTATCCTCTACGGCATGACCCCCTTTTTATGTTGATACTGCACGGTAGAAACATGAAATGCAACTTGTCGATACGATGGCTCAGATAGTTCCCAGTGTCCAACTGGGGGCTCTTAGTTCCTGCCAGATCCCTTGTTGCAAAGGTCAGAGCCTCTTGTGCCTCTAGGCATTGTGTGCATCTCTTGTTTCAGAAGCTGAAAGTAGCCAAAGCTACTATAAACTGGCAAGCAGCTGACATTTTAGCGACATGGTATACAATCCATATTTAACTGTCTTTTGTGCGAAGCAATTAGGTTAAGAACGCTCCCTTACTCCCTTAGCCAAAGGCGATTTGTATCTGTTTATTAGTGTCAAAACAGTAGGTCTGTTTGATTCACCTGAACTGGCTGAACTAGTTCAGCTGTGCAAAACTGGCACATTCAATTCAACCGAAAGTTGCACAGCCGCTACACTGGCGTGTTCGATTCATCCCAGTTCCAAACAAGTTCAGACCCAGTTCCTCAAAACCTTGCACCAGCTCCCAAGTCAGTTCAGCGTCCGTGCAAAAGCACACGACGAGAGCAGACATTTGCGGTGCCATTTCTCGGAGCTCTTGCTCAAATGTCTGTCATGTCTAAAAATAATGCCACGACGAAAGTTACATTTCCTCTAATTGATGAGAATAATGTAACCCTGGAAGGACGCAGATGCGAGATCCTAACATAGGTAGGAAATAGCTTGAATATGATATATTGAAAGCATCTTGCACATCTGCTCGTGCAGGTTTTGCTCCCTGTGGCAAGTCTCGAAAGATTGGCTCACGTAAATCGTCAATTTTTTTATGCTCTGTGGTACTATTTTTATATTCTTCTTAAAAGCACTGGAAAAGTATTACATTCTTGATAGCTCCCACATTCAGTAGCTCTTGGATACAGACCGACGACTCCGATACATTGCCGAGGTCTGCGATTTAGTACATTGGCACTGGCATGCCCCCGTAGCTGAGCATAATACTGCATGCTTTGTCCATTGATATCTGTGAACGCTCAGTAACAGGTCCGGGAGAAAACGCCGAGAATCCACATTGGCCTGTTAGTTCCATGTGGATCTTCATTGAGAATCAGAATAAATGCTTCAACTTGACGTCAAAGTGACAGTTGATAACTGTTTTTGCCAAGGCTACGCTCTCGTCAGGCTTTCGTCTCCGAAGTGACCGCTAGCGTGCACTGCCGCCAGTAACTCCCGACACAAAGTCATCCTAATGCCACAGACCTATGGTCAAAATGTGAAGCTCAATAGGCTTGGATTTGATCTACTATTGCTAAATGAATGTAAATTTTATTGTTTTAAATGCAGTCCAAGGACACAAACGCTTATGGGAACAATAGGAAGTGGACGGTAACTGGTAACGATGCAAGCAGAAAAGAATTTCGTGCTGAAAACGTTCGTAGCTCATTCAGTATAATTATTTCTAAACTTCAAAACTAAAGAAGCGTGATCGAGCTCATTAAACCGTGAAGAATTTAATGTAGCATACGATATAGCATGGAGAAGCAAGAGCCCAAGGATGCAGACGACACCCTGCACTTCCAATTCCGCTCCACTTCTGTGCCACCGCTGCACAACACTTGCACTCCTCTGAACTGGCCGAATTGAGCAGACCTAGGCCATTCAAACAGACCTAGTGTTTAGAGATTGGTGCCCCACTATGTAATAATGAACGCTGCTACAGGAGTTAAATAGAAGCTGTTTTACTAACTATACATTTGCCAGCCTCACAATAACTTAGGATAGTTGAGAGTGAAGCTTTTGTTTAAAGATTACAATATTTTACGAGAGGTGCATAATGAACATTTCTTCACTGTTGAACTCTAGATTCTAACAATCCTGATGTTGAGATGCAGTCTATGTGCCCCGTTTATCTGTCTGGGCAGGCTAGTTATGCGGCCAGGGGAACATAATACGGGGGATAATCAATCAAGATAAGTTTGTTAATTAACCAAAACTTAATTTAATTTTTATTTATCGAGGATAAAGATGTGGTTTCAATTAGAAATTTGCTGTGTATCACCGGAAAGCACTAAAAAAGTAAATTTTAAAAAGAGTTTGGCACGTGGAAAGCGCGGTGGCACGCTAAAGTTGGCGCTCGTGCAACAGACACAAGGCTAGTTGTGTGAAAACACTCCTACACATTTTCTTTGTCTTTCTACATTTGCCTTTCCGCATTGCCACCCTTGCACCTGTCACACTTGTGGTAACTTTGGCATATCACCGCACTTCCGACGCGTCGCAAATAATTCAAGAATATACTTCTTTAGTTGTTTTTGACAATGTCCAGGAAGTTTAGAATTGAAAGCATGCTTATATTCGCCAATTAAAAAGCTGATTAACATGTTTTAGATCATTATCCGACCTCGTGCGAGGATTAGCCCCCCACGTTGTGTCCCCCTGGCATGTATCACTGCCCACACAGACCACAGTAGTGCAGCTTTCGTAGCTTTCAAAAACAAATCTGTAAAGCCTGAAAAAAAAAATGCCTTGTATGGTGAAAAAGAAATCATGGAATATATCCATTATTGTAGCGCAGAAAGGATGCTACATAATCATTTCAGAGTGGGATAATAGAACTAAACTCCAGGCAGGCAATTTGAGGGAACAGTGAAGAAAACTAAGGGTAATATGGGGTAATATGGTGCAAGCGAGACGGGGACAAAACAGTGATACAGACATACAATGGACTGGTGCTGACTTCAACCTTATATCAACGTTAAAGCCAGCTTTTTCCGCCTGTCTGACAACGAGCCAAGGCATCTGCCAGTCGGCAAAACCTGCAAGTGTCAGTCAGTTGGGGGAATTTTCAGCTCGCTCGGCGTCAGTCGGGGAAACCGAGCTTTCTACTCTCCGGACAACAGCAAAAGATGCGCGTGGTGCAGCATGCATCGACATGCGCCGAACAAAAATATCTGTTCAGAAATTGTTCCTAAGGGAACACTGATCCCGAAACACTTGCGCAGAAACAAACTCTCCGCCTTGTCACATGCGGTACCTTCGCCAAGTGGCTTCGCGACGCGAGAGCTTGTCTTTGGAGCTTCCCGCCTCGCTTCCGTATCGTAGCTGTTTCTGCAGGCGTTCGCAGCACAGGGGTCG